GCAGACATAAATACTGAGACATGGGGAGTAATAAAGACCCACTTATCTGAGTGTTATAAACACAGCAAGACACTAGGCAGGCCTAAAGTTTTGGAAGGAAACTGTAATCCTGAAGTTGTTGAAAAATAGTGATCTGATACCATATCAGGATTTTTGTTTTATCTTGTTTGATAATACATGAATGTGAAAGGTCAAAGTTAGTTTTGCAGACAGTGTTGACTGTCATACTTTCTGACTTTTTGAATAACTCTCTCTTGCTAAATAGCTGTGTGCATTGGTAGATTGTTCTTGATGAGATGGTTTCTGTGAGAGATCATGCTTTTGTATGTGCAAGTAATGGTACTGATTAGGTCTAGGCACAGGTAAGATTGACAGGAAAACTGCACGAAGCTACTCTTGTATTGCTTTAGACCTGCTTGGATGTATCACCAGGACTTTATGGTACTCTGTAACTTGATGTAAATTAAGTCTTTGTTTCTTACCTGTTGTTGGATTGTATCCAGACTTGACAGTAAGTAGTGAGGAATACCAGACAGACTTTCAATCTTCAGATACATAAAATACTATTTGGAAATCTCACCATCATTGTGTGTTTTTTCTATGTTAACGATAATTCGTGGGGACCACAATCAAAGCATATACAAAAGTGTGTGCAAAATACATGGTGGCTTTGCTTATAAAAATAAATCAGGATCTGATTAAGTGGATAACTGCTACATACCAATGACTATAGTAAAACATGCAGGCATAATGCATAGTCCTGGAGAGCTGTATGGTACGGACTGGTACACATAAGAACACTGAGCAATAGATTACTCAGTGTTTTGTATGTATTTCAGATCAGTGCTATGGGTTTTTTCTCTAGTCAGAGATCTGTTTGTTGCATCAAAATTGTCAAATTTTTAAATACTGTGAAGTGCTACAGCTACAGTTTTGAGAGGTATCTAGGAATGAATTTTAAAAGCTGCTACAGTTTCAGGTTTGTCTTAAGTCTCAAGCTATTGTAACAGTGGCAAATCTGGTATAGGAACATGGTCCGTATCTTGTGCCATACTTTTAAAACTTTTTATAGCAGTCTAATGACATGAAGATGCAAATATCTGTGTGGTGATAGTTTGGAAGGTAATGTATATTATAAATGTGTCTGTATACATAATAGACCTATGCTAGGGATTGAATTGATAGCTACAGTTCTTGCAACTGTCTCCTATGTCAGGTGCATCAACCGTAGGTGAAGAATCCCCCAGTATTCCCTAAGTCTACTTGAAGTAACTTAAATTTAAGAAGTTAAAGGACGGCTTCCTGAGGCTTTCCTAAATATTCTGGAATTAGTTTTCTCTTTCAAAATGTGGCTTCTAAGAGCAGACATACACTGAGTTGCTCCTATGTAGATAAGGTGTAAATAATAGTAATAATGTAAAATATATATATATATATATATATATATATATATTTGCTGAGAGAACTCACATATCACTAATTGAAATGCTTTAATTTTGCCTGAAAAAAAAAAGTGTAAGCTTACATCTGAAGCTTGTTTGGAAACCCCCCCACACCCCCTCCCCAACCAAAAAAAAAAAAAAAAAAGGAAAAAACAACAAACAAACCAACCCAAACAAACAAAAAACCCCACAAAAATAAACAAAAAAAAAACACAAAACCCCCACAGTTTGGAACTGCTGCCTTTTCTCACAAATCAAAGTAAGATCAGTGTCATTATGCAATATTAACTTAGTGTGATACTGTGCTTATGTATGACCTGTGCTTCTGTGCTTCTAGCAGTGATGGAAATTAACATTGATAGGACATAAATACATTATCTCTTCCTTCTCTCAGCCACCGATTTTTGTCTCTTACTTGCTCTTTCAAAAAACATGCAGTGAAGACAATGATATGCTAGTGTTTTCCAGGGTTAATTTCCTAATGACAGTGGGGAACACATAAGCAGAGGCACAGCTGAGAAGCTATTAGTTTATCCCATTTGTTAATATTTGACATAGGGGATGAAGTACGAATAGTAGAAAGAAATGCTTGGAAGTGAAGGAGGAAGGGTGGGTCTTTGATTAGAAAACTGCTTGGAGCAGGCTATTTCCTCTATAGCTGCTCTCAGTCTTTGTAGACAGAAAAATCTCTCTGCCAAAATTAAAATATTTTGCCCATCTTGTCATTATTCATTATAATTTTGCTTGTTTTGGGGACTACTATGTGGTAGATGATCACTGCTTAATACAGTGATCTCTCATGCCTTAAGCACACATAGGCAAGTATAGGATTTGGACAAACTGCATTCTGTGGGATACTGCCTGTTTTTTTGTGGTCAAGAAATGCTTAGGAAGTACTGAAACAAGCATGTATTATTACCCTTCTACAGTCAGTATTTAGGTGACATGCTTTTTCAACTCGGCATACCCTGCAAAACTGGGAGGCTTTGCATTACTTCAGAAAAGAAGATTAATGCTGTTTTGGAAGATGATATTAATTTGAGATGAGAAGAATAATTTTAGCTACTAGGTGAAAAAGTGAAGATGACATAATCCTTGGGTAAAGGAACTAAATGGGACTAGCTGCAAGGGCTATTTTTATTTTTTTGATAACTGTAAGCACTATAAAAGAGGCCAAACTCTAGTTTAAGATCTGCATATGAGGCTTCCACTAATTTGACAAAAAGAGACTTGCTCTGAATGTTTAAAGCTTGTGTAAACTTACTTCCAGCGCTGCATATTTACTGATTTCTGGAGAGAGAACTAGTTTAGGTGTCATGGAAAATGCAGAAGGATTTTTTTGCCTAGAAATGCTCGAGTATTCTTAATATTGAAGATTTTACTGACTAGTTGTAACAGTGCTTCCAGAAATACTCATATCAGAAGTGCTTAAAGAAAACATTTGAGGGATAGAATTTGAAGGTTGGAGTAACGTAAGGAATCCATGGGTTTCTCTTTTTTGGGGTACATCCTCCTCTTGTGTTGAGGCAAGGTAGCTATAAAGCCTCAATTCCAAATAAACTCTGGGTACATGAATGGGCAAGGGTTGCATTTGATTTTATTGGAAAATGGTGTTCAGGGCAGGGGTTGGGGAAATATTTTGTTAGAAAACTACCTGTGTCAGCACAGATAAATAACAAGTTTTAAAATTCAGTTCCTGTTAACATCTGAATTTCACTTTCAGAAGTTGCTTCTTGTCTATTTCTACAAATAACTATTAATTCAAGTGAATTCAGAAGCATGATGAGCAAGTCTGAAGCAAATCTGCTCTGAAACTTCTGGTATTCTTTATGGGGATATTTTTTCTAATCTGGCACTTTGTGTAGTCAATCCATAGTTAATGCAAAAGCAATGTTGAAAGTATTCTGAGTTTGTGTAGGAAGGTATCATTTAAAGGGACAACACTCCGCCTCCTTCCTCCCCCCGGTTTTAACCTCTGTATTTTTTCTTTTTTTTTTTTTTCAGAGCTATAAACTGTCAGTGGAATACAGATGATTTCTTTGTAGAAGAAACATATTGCTAAAAATTTAAAATACAAGGGAAAAAACAGATGAGGCAAGCTGGCTCTTTAAGTCCTCCTATGCCAGAACAAAATTAAATTACTAATTCTCTTCAGGGAAGAAAGCTGGTATTAAGTTTGCTGGATTATTCAACATCTGTTTAGTATACCTCTCATCACTTAGCTGGATGTTACAGAGATTCATTAGTCTAGGAGAAGAATGTGATTGAAGTTTAAAGGTTAAAATGCTGCAGTGTGTTAAAGCAGACTTGTTCACATTGTAGTTCTACTTAAGTTTTATCTTGCCAGCCTAGAGGTTGAGCAGGAGATGTGTTTGAGTTTTGATTTGAATGCAACTTAATAGTCTCTTCAGCTTTCCAATTCCCTCTAGTGTAAATGCAGATATTTTTTTAAAGACTATGTGTATTCACTTCGGTTTTGATCAACAACTTCTCAGTAAATGAAAAACTTGAAGAATGGGTGAGAACTGTACTGTTTTATTAATTTATAGCGTATATTGAGAGAACAAATTGTATGTTACTTGTTTTGCATACATCTTTGGAATGATTTCCTTTCTTTCAAATACAAAGTTGCCTGTTTAAAACAAGAGGTGTTTAGCTCTTTGACAAACTCCAGAAATTCTGGGCATGCTATAATGATGAAATACTGACTGCTTTGCATAATTCATCTGAACTTGTGTTATTTCTGCTCTGTCTCCTAGAGGTTGGAGAATTTCCTTCAATTTATATCAGAAGGAAAGGGATAACCACATTTGAAATATAGAATCTTTGCAACTAATAAATGAATCAAATATAGATAATTGAAAGAATCTGTGTTGCTGCTGCCTCTGTTAGATATTCATGATGGAAGTATAGGACTGATTTATGTGTGAAAGGGAAAATTAACAAGATTTGTTATCTCATAGTTGGTGTGAATCCAGCAAGTCTTGATCCAGAGATCCTGGAAATTTACATTATACATAATTTCCCATTGACTCCTCCATATTTTGGCTACTGATCTTTTTATCTCTGTCACAGCAGATTTTTTTAACATGCCTTGCATTATTCAGATCTTCTTTCATCTGTAAGTAGTGTTTAAAAAGGAGAGGAGGTTCCTTAAACACTTGAAAATGTGATCATTTGGTTATGATACTTATTTAGATTAACTTCCTTTTATACTAGTCCTGATATTTAACACCACTAAAATAACAGCTCCATCATTCTCCATTATGTTCTCATTGATGAAGAATCTCTTAAATAACTGTAAGTTAAGCATTTGTACATAATTTTCATATTCTGTGCAGATAAAGGCGAGCCTTTTAATTTCTTTGTTACTTTGTGTTGTTTATGAATTTTTTTCTTTGGTGGTTGCTCAGTTCTACGTGGTTAAAAATTGAGTGTACTAGCTAGAAGCATGGTGTTAACCTGTTTGAATGTGGTATCAGCGATAGTGACAATGGCTATGATGTTTAGTTTTTCCTGTTACATACAACAATGATTCCTTAATGGTACCAATTCCAGCTTTGGTCGGCCAGGAGTTGAATGCTACTGCCAACACGACAGTGGAGCTGCAGTAATCCAGCTTCAGTTCCTGATTAATGAGGTTAGTAAAATGATGTATGCATTCCATAATTCAAAGAAGATACAGAGTGTGTTTTCTTCAATTTCTCATTAACAGAGCATCAAACTCATCCAACACAAGTGACTCAGCATGAATGGCAAACAGTAATAACAATTATAAACAAATTAACTTTTTTAATTTTAGAAAACGCTTGACTAACTGCTGTAAATATCTTTGTCTCTAGAGTACTCTTGCTATAAGCAAAACCTTTTTTCCTAGGACTATTCATATTATTGAATGTTGCAAGTTACCTCTTGAAGTAGTAAACTATGGTTTTCAATAGTACTAATAGTTTCGTTAATTTTATTTTCATGGAGATACTGTTTTAGACGTGAGCTCAGCAATGATCTCTGATACCTCAGTAATTTCAAGTGTGTTTTTTCTAGGGCTGTAGGAGCTGAGAACTGACAGCAGTGTTGTCTTTGAGCTAGCTGGGGCCAGACTTGTAGAGGGACTTCTAGCTCAGAGGAATGGTGAAGTCAAACCTCTCTAGCTTTGTCAGCACGTAGATATTTGCAGTTGGGTTCATTTGCTTAATTATTCTGTGGAGGTGGGTATGAGGGAACTGATGTGCACACACAAAAGCTTCTCCTTCCCTATGGCCCCTCAGTATAGGACTAAATCAAATGTGAGTGTGCCAGATGACATGCGATCACATCAGTTTTCATTGCTACTACTTAGAAGTTATCTGTACTTTTTCATTCAGGTAGCAAATATGTAAAATATTTCCCCTATGATGATATACTGTTACTAGGGTTATGAAAATAAGTTGACCAAAACTTTTTTTCTCATAGGGAGCTCTTGTGAGTGCCTTGGCTGATGATACCTTACACCTATGGAACTTACGTCAGAAGAGACCTGCTATACTTCATTCACTCAAATTTAACCGAGAACGGTAGGGATTGGATTATTATTGCTTTGCTCCTTACCATTACACTATGTGCTATTGTAAAATCAGATTTGTTAATGCAGTCCAAGTCATAACTTGTTAAATAGTTGAAACTGAATTTACATTGAGTTTAAGCTGCAGGCTGTTAGGACCCAAAGCACTTGTGAGTAGACACTTGAGATGACTTTTCTATCAGTTTGCATATTGCATTGCTGAATGTTAATTTTCCCATCTTCAAAATGTGGATGGATAGAAGACTTTAAATGTATGTTTCCAAAGGAATTTTGGAACAACAGAAAGTGTGTGTGTGTGTGTGTATACCAACAAGACAACAGGAAAACTAGTTCAATTTTTTAATTGGAAGATTTCTTTCCCCCTTGATGACAAATCAGAATTCTGGAGTGTTAGAGCTCTTCTGTGTATCAGAGAAGCTGAGAGCATACATTTTGACTAACAATTTAGAGACTTAAAAAACAGAGTCGTAAGCAAGCTAGGAAGACATTTTAGATTAAATTTCAAAAAGTCAGCTGATCAAATTTCAGGGAAAAAAAAGGTGTGTCGTTTTTAATAACAAGTAGTCCTTGTCTTTTGGGAAGTAGCCCTTCTTTTTCAGTATGGGTAGTGTCTCAAGTGAAATGCTATGTCTACTTTTGAGCAGTGTGCTTCAGTGGTGGACTGCTTGGGGGCATCAAAAGAACACAGAATATTCTGTGACTTGTACCTCTAAATAGGGCAGGAATTAATAAACTTTAAGTAATGGGTAGCAATAGAAAGATGTAAGTTAAATATTTATGTAAAACCTAAGGTAATGTCATACAGAGTGCTAAACAGACTGTTGAGTGGGTTATGGAATAACCTTGTGGTTTTAAAGAGCAGGTTATAAACAAATTTCTCACTAATAACATAAATGCAGGTTACTGGGTTATTTGCGGTAGAGGACTAATTGATTCTAAGTCCCTTTTGAAGTTATTTCTATGATCATTGCACATAAACTTTATACCAGGGCCTGCTGCAATAGGACAAGGGGTAATGGTTTTGAACTGAAACAGGTTAGTTTTAGATTAGACCTAAGGAAGAAATTCTTCCCTGTGAGAGTGGTGAGGCACTGGCCCAGGGTGCCCAGAGCAGCTGAGGCTGCCCCCTCCCTGGAAGGGTTCCAGGCCAGGCTGGACGGGGCTGGGAGCAACTGGTCTAGGGAAAGATGTCCCTGCCCACAGCACGTTCATTGGACAAGATGGTCTTTAAAGGGCCCTTCAGATTCAAGCCATTCTGTGATTCTAAACTGTTATATGTGAAACAGAAAGCTGTGTTGATAGAGAAAAATCCTCTGCCCCAGGGGAATAATAGTGTTACCTTATGTAGCATAAAAGTCAAATGGAGAGCAATGCAATTCACTACTTCTGGTTTAATAAGGATTGTCCAACTATAGGAAATGCAGTGGTGTATCCAAACTGAATTTTCTCACTCTCCCTTCCCCTTTCTTTCTTAAATGCCTTTTCTCTTACCTGTGGCACCTACATAAGTGTCAATATAAAATTTGGATTTGCAACCTGAAACCACACTTGGACATTGGCTTCTAACTAATGCTTTAAAATAAGTATCTGAAGAGGTGATTCTGATTATGTGCAAATTTACGGGAAGCTGGCTTAAAGTCTTAGATGTACAGATGTCTTTGGTTAAACAGAGTCAAGTTCTAGACCATCCTTTTCCTGTAAATGTGGCATTGTCACTAGCTAAACTTGTCACAGGGAGTTGAACTGTGTGTACTCTTAACAGAAACAGAGGTGGAAAGGACTATAGGTCATTCATGTCACTCTGGTGGTTTTATTTGTTATTAACTTTGGACAGAGTACTGATTTTTCCAGGAAAACCTGTGGCTGGATAAAATAGGTAGTGAGAGCACTGTAGTTACCAAGAGTGGTGAAAGTGTAGTTTGAGACGAGGGTTTATTTTTCTAGTAGTGCTTTTAATCTTAAAGTATCCATTATAACAGCATATAGAAGTAGCCAGAACACTTAAGATCCCAGAACCATACCTTGTCAAAGCCACTTAAGTCATGCTGGATGACTGTCAACTGTTTCCAAATATTCTGTTTTCTTTTGACTAGTTTATAAAATAAACCTTTATAAAATACACTGTAATGTCATTACTAGGGAAATATTTTGATTTTGATCTTTAGAGAATTGCACAAATTCAGTGCTGAATAATTCTAAATAGGTGTCTTTATAACACTAAGATTTCTTAATAATTATACTTAATAGGTTTGATATGTGAATTTGAAGTAAATGAGCCTTGCTTAGGTCAGTTTTATGATGTGTATTAACTACTAAGTTTATTGAGAAGGGTGTTCATGAATAAAACTAGGTCTTTGCAATTCACGAGCACCAATTTGTTACATACCTTATTAATAAAATCTTTTAAATAATTTGTTGTGGGTTTAAGATTTGCTCATAAGGATAACTAACTTCTTAAACAGGAATTATTTAAAATATTAAATAGTACAACAGAGCCTTGTAGCAATATCATCTCTGATGGTACTTTAATTTACCAGCTTGTGTAGGGAAATTGAATAACTTGGATATTAGTTTGGGTAAAAGAATAAGTTAATGAACTGGAAAAGATGTCCTTGGAGGGGAGACAAAGTCAAATCTTACTATATGACTGAAAGAACTATTCCAGTCATAGCAGTATTTGCTCTAGGACTCTGTAGATGTTCAAGTTTAAAATGGTATACCTGATTGTCAACATACTTCCAGGTACTCCCATTGCAAAAAAGCAGTATTTGTGCCATGTTTAATAGGACTCAAACTCAATATGTCACATGCCAATTTATATTCAGATTTTGTTTACAAGTCAGAGTTTAATGTGTAAGGATAGGATGTGAATGATAAGATTGTCTGTAGTATAGAAAGCTAACTGTAGGGGTTAGCTACCCAAATCAAAGGGTATTCTAGTCTTGAAAACTATTCTTGAACTATGTTTAAAAATAAATAAATAAGGCTATGACTTGCTAATGAATTCTGTATTCTACTGGCACAGCCTTTCACCAACTCTGTCTAAATTCTTGCTTTTAGCCATATGGAAGAATTACTGCCCAATGTTTAACAACGCAATTTCTAGATTTCATATTTGTTTCTCCTGTTTGTAATGTATTTTGGCTAGCTTTCTTTCAGGCCTGTTTTGAACATCTTTCAAATAAGGAATAAAAAACATACAGCTTGTTTATAAATGCTTGTGCCATGTGTTAAGTATTTTATATACTTACTGAAAATTGAATTAGAGTATTGAATTACCAGTAAATTAATTCAGAATACAGTCTCTAGTATATGACTGGAAAGTGGTGTGAATTCTTGCTTTTCTACTCATGAAACAGGAAGTGGTGAGAAAGAGTTGCTTTTTCTTTTAAAATAATTCTGTGCCCATTACACACTTTGTTCTGAGCTGGAAAATGTCTTCATTGGATAACTTGCAGCTTTTTAGATTTGAGCAGGTTTCTTTTACAGTAGTGGCCAAGAGTCTTTAAATATTCAACAGAAAGCAGCATTTTTAAATGAGGTGTGTATATGTGGATAAGAAACTGGCCATTTAATAGATTCATTGCTCTTGGCTGCTTTGTGTACCAGTGATGGTTAGTAATTTGAAGCAAGTCTTCTGAACTGGTGACTGATGAAGTTTTTGCTGTATAACAAATCTGCTACTTGAAATTACTGGCAGATGTCAGAAGCATAGTGCAAAACAAGCTACTCTCGCAAGTTTTCTAGCCTTTTGTTCCTCATGCATTTGTGTGGGTTTTGCAGCTGCTTCATGTTCTAGTTTCTAAACAAATGTTAGAAGATATTAAACCAATGTCATACTAAGCTTGGCCACTGTTCCTTGACTCTGGGAAGCAATGTGTAGGGGCCAGGAAAAAGAATGCTTAAAGATGCTTACACGGCGGGGGTTGCTTTCATGACTTGCCATGCAAGTTGTGTAAAAGTAGTATCTTTTTGCAAAACACACAATTCAGTGTATGAACTTACTTAGTATCCTAGGTTTTATATTTGTCTAAGATTTCTTCAGTGGATTACAGTGTAGTCTCTTTGTGATCTACGTACCTGTATACATATCCTACACAATAAAATTCTTGTGTGTTCACATGTAATGCAAGCTTCACGTCAAATTTGTTTTGACTTAGTAGCAAAGGTTAATGTTAGGCTAGATTAACTCCTGAAATAAACATAATTAACACATTTTATTAGAGTAAATATTGAGAGCATGTTGTGAGATAGGTATCAAGTCTGGCTTCAGTTTTTTTGCCAGGCAGGTACTTCATGCTGATCTAAGGTGTGAAAGGTCAAACACACATCACTAACGAGGCAGGGACTTTCACAGGACCAGTTTAAGAGGGTGAAGCAACAGACTAACTTGATTTTTTTTTTTTTTTTTTTTAAAGTGGGGGATGACAAATTTGAATCTCCTTTGCTGCAAACCAAACCCCAAATCAGTCAGCTTTATGTAGAAGTATGAAAAATTTGTTTAGATATCTAGGACTTGCATTCTTCCCAGGCTGATATTCCCCATTCTAATGCCAGAAGAAGTAGTTTACTTGCTTTGTGACTTAGCATAAAGACAAGAACCAAAATCATAGCATAAAAATAGAACTGTTTAGTGTGAGTGCTTTGCATATCGATCACTGAATGCCTTGATAGCAGTTAAATTTTTAATATGTCAACTTCTCTGCTGTGGGATTTAAATAGTTCTCCTCAGCATGAAACTGCACAATTCAGAGTTACAAAATTATGCTTTAAGCATTGCTGGCCTCGTATTCTGCTGTAAGCAGCACCTTTAGAATTGCATGTAAAACACAAATTCTGTCTACAGTAAGTGAAAAATCCCACTTGTATTTACTACTTATTAATAAACAAGACTTTTATTGTGACACATCTCACCTTGTTAGATACTGTAACTTTGTACTTGGCCCATGCATTAGCAGATATTGAGAGAATTTTTTCTTCTACCTCACTGAA